TGGGGAGAAAAAGAGAAAAGGCTTCTGAATGACATATCAGAAAAGGAACTCATAATCAATACCTGCAGCAGTGAATACGAGTTACTTTTGAAAGAGAGGACTAAACTGGACAATATTTTGAAGGTTTGTTTTTATTATGTTGTGAGTTTTGAGACTATAAAATGATATGGTTTTATTACTTTTGTAATCATTAAAAGTATTTTTTATCCCAACCTTCAGCAGAAAATAGCTTACAGAGATAGGTTATTACCATTCCTGCCCTTAAGCTTACAGTCATAAAGACCTGGTGGAATAAAGGTTTGGAAAGGAGGCGGAACAATTGAAGTAAACCAAGGCACTCGGTACTAAAAAGGTGCTTCCAGATAAGCTCCCATTGCCATCCCATGGTTTCTCGGAGGAGCTTGTGGTGGAATGTCCAGTCTCCTTCACTCCCCCTCCCCTTGTTTGTTTTATCCTCACCATTCTGTGGGAGGTTAGGCTGAAAGGTTTTCCTTTATTAAAAAAAATCACTGAAGCAAAATGCTTCTATATAAATGAAATATTCCATTTTTTATTTTGTACTACATTAGGTCTGGCTATAAATCTAGAAGCATACCTTTCTGGCATACCATAGACTGGCCAGCCAGTTCTTAAAACATTTCCACTAGGAGAAGCCTTGTTGGAAGCAAGATTTAGTAGCTTGTCATGGGAGTGGGTGGGCAGCATGAAATTCCAGAAGTGAGTAGGCTAGTCTGAATGGAACTGTAGGATGTGATCTTACTTGGTAGACAAATTGGTTTGAACAAGTGCTAGTTTGCCTCATTCAGACATAATAGCAAATTACGGGTCTCTGCTTAGTGGAAGTAAAAGCTTCCTTCCTTTCCCCTCCATGTAAGGGGGAGTTGGGAGCACACACATTGTCAGTACGTGGCTTGTGTACCTGGACTTAACGTAAGGCTTATTCACTCAAGCAAAGCTTTATACATGGAATGTACTACAACTGATGTGTGTGAAGGGAAATAATCTTGTGTGGATTGGTTCTTACTGTTCACAGACTAGGAAACCAGAATCAAGATTGTGACATAACTTCAGACTGTAGCTTGAATTTAACCTTTTGATATATAGGTACCTGTGATTTGATTAAGGTCAAACTCTGTCCCTATCAAGAAGAATGATGAATGATGAGCCCAGCGGAGTCAGAGATCAGGGAGGTGACAGCAAAGGAGATGTGTTAGCCAGAGAGAAGGACTCGCTTAATCAGGCGTCAAGCGTGAAAGCTGACATTTCTTGAGAATAACTAACGTAGCTTATTTAAATTGTGGCACATGCCCGTGAATCTTGGGTGCAATTTCTGTAATTGCCCACTGTCTGGGCATCTGTTTCTGGCTTGTTAGAGAAAAAAACAGGCCTCCAATAACTCTGCAGTGGCCCATGGGTTACTGGAAAGTTTTCCCCTCCAACATGCCATGCTGCCCAGGTTCGGATAACATGACGACCACACCCAAGTGGTCCTTATGGAACTGCAGGCCGCATACAATTTAAATAAGCTACAGTTGTGTTTGTGTGAACTGAGTCAGAGAATGGACTAGCTCATCAAGCCTGGTGTTCCCCCTACTCATTTTCCCCTTTTCGGTGGAGCAGCCATCTTTTCTTGCAGGCATCAGCCTAAATGACTTCCCGCCTTGACTTCTGCAACGCGCTCTACGTGGGGCTATCCTTGAAGACAGTCCGGATACTTCAATTGGTTCAAAATAGAGCTGCCAGGTTGCTGACGGGGACTGGGCGTTATGTTCACATGACTCCAGTCCTCCGTCAGCTTCACTGGCTTCCCATTGAAGTCCGGGCCCAATTCAAGGTGTTGGTGATGACCTATAAAGCCCTAAATGGCTTGGGTCCTGGCTATCTGAAGGAGCGCTTACGTCCATATACGCCCACCCGCCCCCTGAACTCTGCAGGAGAGGCCCTTCTCCGGGAACCCTCCGTGAAGGAAATTAGGAGGGTAGGTACTTGGAGGAGGGCTTTCTCAGCGGTGGCGCCCAATCTATGGAAAGCGCTCCCCAGAGAGGTCCGCCTGGCGCCGTCGTTATTTGTTTTTCGGCGCCAGGCAAAGACCTTTTTATTCAAATGTCATTTTAATTGCTAATATTATTTGCTTAATTCTTCGGCCAGGGCGACTTATTTTATAATGTTAATGTGTTTTATATTTTTAGTGTTTTATATTTTAACTGATGTTCTGTAAGCTGCCCCGAGGCTTCGGTGAATGGGGCGGCATAGAAATTTTTAAATAAATAAATAAATGTTTGTTCCCTCCCTTGCCACCATGCTTTTACTTCCAGATCTAGGTACCAGGGTTGACTAAAATGGTTGGCTGAAATTTGTGTGGGTTTCTTTATACCTGCCTTTGGTGTGAAAATGAATGCTGAATTCCTTGCTGGTTGCAATTAACCACACATTGAGAAATGTTATAAGTGGACTAGTAAGTTTCAGAACCTCCTGTATTTTGTGCTTGTGATTACAGTCGTACCTCAGCTCACGAACGCCTCAGTTCATGACCAAAGTGGGTCGCAAACAACACTTCCATAAAAATTTTGACTCAGGTCGTGAATTTCGCATTGGGTGGCGACTGCAGTCATGGCCATCTCCCCCCACCCCCGAGTGGGAAGATGGCCGTGATCATGCTGGGAGTGGCGGGGAGATGGCCGAGATCGTGCCAGTCTTTCCTGCAGGAGTGTGCCCGTGATTGCACTAGTCTTTCCTGCACAAGCGCAACCGCAGTCTCGGCCCTCTTCCCCCCAGCACGATCGTGCCCATCTCCCCCCCCCCCCGAGCGTGCCTGCATTCACGCCCATCTCAAACCCCCAGTGTGCCGGGATGACGGGCGTGATCATGGTCATGCTGGGGGGTGGGGAGATGGCCAGGCTTGTGCTTGGGGTGAGGGGCTGGAGATGGCCGTGATCTTTGTTGTTGTTTGTCACTTTGCTTCTTCACATTTTTCTGATTTAAAAAAAAAAAAGTTAAGGAATGGATTAACCTTATTTACATTGAACCTTATGGGAAATTTAACTTGGCTCATGACCAATTCGGGTCACGACCAGAATCCTGGAACAGATGAAGTTCGTGAGCCAAGGTACCACTGCACTTTGTTTCTCTCCTGTTGTATGTGAATAATCAAGCTGCAGTGGGTCCCTTAATACTACCCTTGAAAACAAATAACAATTAGCAAGATTATTCAGCAAGAGGCAGAAATACAACCTTGAATCCCTTGAAGAATGGTTTCTAAGAAATTAGGAGAATTAATCTGCTGTGCTTATGGGCAGATGCTGCAACTCCCTTTGGGCTTTTGTCTTTCTAGTGCTTTTTTTCCTAAGGAAGATTGGAGGATCTGTAACAAATGCAATAGCATCACCTTGTGGCTAACAGTGCAGCATTACATGGTGGGTCTTCACAAGGTCTTATAAGTAATAGCCAGTCTGCGACTTGGCGTAACACACACATTCTAGAGCTATCTTTTTATTTTTATTTTTATTTTGCTTCTATTGCCATTGTGAGAATAATATGTTTAAACTACTTTAGTATAGCTGGATTGGACTGTGGAAAAACTGCACCTCATTTTAAAATCTTCCTCTGCTACCAAAAAACTATTTTAATATGTTGCATTCATATAAGGGCTGCATTCAGATGATCAGGTCTTGGCTTAAAAACTGGCACTATGAGCAAGCCTCTTTGCCATGCACACAGTCCCTTACCTCCAACCAGGGGATCATTTAACCATAATTTCCTATTACTCTGAAGTAGGATACTGTGGTTACCAGCTTTGGTATTAGCCAGGATCTGAAGCCATAGTTTAAAGTTGGCTTCATACTTTGACTTGATTGAAAGTTCCCAAATCATAGTTTCTTGGTTCAGATGAAACAAGAAACTGGTTAACCAAAGAGTTCCTGGTTTGCTGGCTTCAACTGTGAAGGGAATAGCAAAGAGTCAGAAATGGTCGTGACAGGAATCTTTGAGTTTTGCTGCTCTTTGAGATAATGTCAGCCAGCTGCCTTGGGCCATTAATAAGCAAGGAATGAACAAGAAGCAGCTTACTAATGTAGGTCATCCACTACAAGTGGTCTATATTTGCTTATGCATACTCCAGTGTATGTCACTACTGTTGTAAACTTTTACATAACCCAACAACTTTTATATCAACACTTAAGAAAAAAAAGTGAAATCTTTGACTGTTAGCAGTGTGTATGCAAACAGTGTTCTGTTTTTGTTGAACAGCTGTTTCTGTTATCTCACCCCTTTCTTTTCCTTTGTACCAGCTGCTTTGAATGGAAACATGCATCTTATGTGAAATACATGGGGGAAATGACTAATTACATTTATTTTGTCTGCCCATGGATGATCCAGAAACTCCACCCCGAAACAGTCTAGAAGACCCAAGGATCTAGCTGATCTGTCCCATTATTTAACCTCATCTTAGTATATGAAACAGAGAGAGGAGGACCCATTAAGAAGCTCCTTCTTACTCCATGGGTCTCCCAGTAGATAACGATTGAGATATATGTAAAGCAGTCTAAAGACTAGGTCTAAAATGAGCTTAGTTTAAAGGGAAAGCACTCTGGTTCTTTAGAGGAAGGTTTCATAAGGCACAGATGGCATGTGGGCAGCTTGGTAGGGCTGATTTATGTTTGAGTTTGTTTCTGCTTCCATCATGCTGTACTATTATATAAACAAACTGATATTGGTGATGAATTGCAGTGCTGTTTATCATCTGCTGCTCACAGGATTGCATGTTCACACTTCTGAAATGCCTCTAACAGGTAAGGAAGCGTGAATTGGCAAAACCTGAACTTGCTGAAGTTCTCCAGATTCCATCTCAAAGCCCACACTGATTAAAGTCCATGTCTGATTGCAAGTTTTATTTTAGTGTGGAAGTTGATGTGTATTTTTGCGTGTTGTTCTTCCATTTAAGAAAATCATGTGCACGTATTATGCATGCTTTAGAACAAAATTTTGGGTCTGCAAAGTCAAAAGTGTACAAAGCCTGCAGATTACATCTAAGTCTGTGTTCAGCAATTGTATGAACTGGGTCAAGCCTGATAAAAAACCAAACAAATTTCTCATAATCCTTTTTCATTACTTTATTGTGAATTTAA